GCTCAGGGACAGCACCCAGGCCCTGAGTTCAAAAACCAGGACTGACACAAATACTAAAACAAACTGAAGATGACAACAAAAATCTTGGCTGTAGGCATGGCTCTAGTGGTAGAGTACCAGGAGAGTAAGCAATTTCAGCAAGCACAAGGCCCCAAATTCAAATCCTTGTATCTACATAGAGAGAATCACATGAAGTGTGCCATCACAGTACAGAGAGTTTGGCCAGAGAGGGAAAATCCAGACAATGAGATGGATTGGAGCACTTCCCAGCAGCCGTGGTTGCAACTGCAGCAGCAGCAGAGGTGGCTATAGCCGCCAAACATACAACACAGAAAATCTAGGACAAAGGTGCCAGATGCAGCAGACCAGCAGATTCTACTGAACACCAGCAAGAAATGACAAGGAGCAGATATCTTCATCCTGCAGATGGCAGTGCAGAGACAATCCAGGAACCAAGACTCCAGCATGAGGAGAACCCTGACATCCTCACACACTCTCAGGGAGGAGAGGAGGAAAGGCTACCCCTTCCTCCTCCCCACCCACTACCCGAATCTCCATCTTTGATACTGAAAAGGCCTGGCTGAGCAACTAGCTCCATCTCAGGCCTTGGAAGAAAACAAGAATCATTTAACAGGTCACAGGAACCTGACCTGACCTGCCAGGCTCAGCTCCACCCAGGGGAAAGTCACCCAGCCCAGGCAGAAAAAGCTGCACACCTAGAGGTGTGACTATCTTCACTGGGTAAACAGAGCCAGAGGCTGCCCCTCCCTAGAGCAGCCTAGACAATCAATTGAAATTCTGTAAACATAAACCCTGAGAATGGTTCCAGGTTGGGCTCTGTGAGTGTCTCAGAAGGTAGCCCCTCAGAGAAAAGCTACTGTTTGCTGAAAGGCCTCAACTCTACCCAGAACCTAGCCTCATCACAGTATCTCCAAACTAGAGTAAACAGGCACCTCCTTCTTTTGTGATACTCAAAGCAGATCTCCATCCCACTGAACTAGCCTGGGAGGAGAATCACCACAAAATCCAGGGTAAAGCAGAGCATTTTTCTGCCTGCCAAAAAAAAAAAAACTGACTTAAACCAATCAAGTAACAGGGAAACCAAACACCACAAGCAGACCAGAGACTCCACCAACAGACTGGTTACAGACACAAGGGAGATAAAGGATCTTACTATCCACCCCAACGCACCCCCCTCCCGCTAAAAAAATCAAAGAACTCTTCTTTTGTACCTTTTTTAAAAAAAAATTTAAATTGTTTTCTATTAATCTTTTTTTTCTTCCTCATAATTTTTACATTAGGTGTATATGTGTGTGGTGCTTTTTTATCTCTACTGATTTTTTAGTCCTTTTTTTCTTTCTTTTTTTTCATTCTTTTCACTTTTTCTTCTCTTTCCTTCATTTTTACATGACTTAATTGCTGTTATGCTCATCCTCAGATATACCCATCGTCGATTACTACAGCTTATCCCCCATTGTGTACACATTTAAACCACAAATTTATTACTCAATTTAAAAACTCTTAGGTTTAAATTTCTTAATAGCAGTATTATCTCTTTATACCTATATAATATTTTAAGTATTTTTATTTTTTAGTTTTTCATGTTTCCTTTCTATCCCTCCGCTCTTTTGTCCTATCCCCGTTCTTTTCTCAATATTACTTCTTTAAACTTGCATAGTTTTTAAATGTTTCACTGTTTAAATTTTAATTTTTTTGGGGGGTCTGGTTGTGGGGCCTGAACTCTGGGCCTGGGTGCTGTACCTCATCTCTTCAGCTCAAGGCTACCACTCTTCCATTTGAGCCACAGCACCACTTCAGGCTTTTTTTTTTCAGCTTTATGTGGAGCTGAGGAATCAAACCCAGGGCCTCTTACATGCAAGGCAAGCAATCTACCATTGAGCCACCTTTCCAGCCCTTACATTTAAATTTTTGTTCTTCCATTTTTTCTTGTCTCTTTTTTTTTCTCTTCTCTCTGTCCTACCATTCTGTCCAATCCATTTCCCTCTTTGAGATTAGGACTTGGTTAATTTCACTCTCCTTTTGCATTTCCACGGCCCTCTAATCCTAATTTTCCCCACATTTTCCCCTAAATTTAATAATTTCTGGTTTGCCAATTCCTCTTTGCTGTTCATAGACCATTAAAACACAATTGTTTGATGTTGAGTAGATTGTATCTGTTGAACTAAATTGTATCTGCAGACTTTTGACTATGCAAATACATGACTTTGGTTCATGCTTGCCTTAAAATACTGGTCTAGCACAAAGTTGGTGTTACTTTCATCCCAAATGGGCAGAACAAGCAGAATTCTACAAGGCCTTCAAAGCAGAGCTCACACCAATACTCCTTCAACTCTTCAATGAAATTGAAAGAGAAAGTTCACTCCTGAACACATTCTATGAAGCCATCATAACCCTCAACCCAAAACCAGGCAGGGACTCATCAAAGAAAGAGAACTATAGACCCATTTCTTTGATAAACATTGATGCAAAACTTCTCAACAAAATTTTGGCCAATCAACTTCAACAATTCATCAAAAAAATCATATACCATGATCAAACAGGATTCATTTCGGGGATGCAAAGCTGGTTCAATATACGCAAATCAATTAATATAATTCATCACATCAACAGGACCAAGGATAAGAACCACATGGTTATCTCAATAGATGCAGAAAAAGCATTTGACAAGATCCAACACCCGTTTATGATGAAGATTCTGGAAAAATTAGGAATCCATGGAACATTCCTCAATTCAATAAAGGCTGTATATGACAAACCTACAGCCAGCATTATACTTAATGGTGACAAATTAAACCCATTTCCTCTTAACTCAGGAACAAGACAAGGATGCCCACTCTCTTCACTTCTCTTCAATCTAGTATTAGAATGCCTAACTACAGCAATAAGACAAGATGCAAACATAAAGGGGATCCAAATAGGGAAAGAAGAAATAAAACTCTCCCTCTTTGCAGATGACATGATCTTGTATTTAAAGAATCCCATAGACTCCACTCCCAAATTACTCAAGCTGTTCAAAACTTTGGCAAAGTACCAGGTATAAAATTAACCCCCCAAAATCAATGGCTTTTCTGTATGCCAACAATGAGAAAAGTGTGGCTGAAATTAGGAAAGCAACTCCGTTTGTAATAGCCCCACAAAAAATAAAATACCTAGGAATTAACTTAACCAAAGAAGTGAAGGACCTCTATGATGAAAACCTTAAAACCTTGAAAAAGGAATTCAAAACAGAACTTAGAAAGTGGCAAAAACTCCCAT